AACAAGAACAACGTGAACAAGAACAACGTGAACAAGAACAACGTGAACAAGAACAACGTGAACAGCAGCAAGGTGAACAGCAGCAAGGTGAACAGCAGCAAGCACGACAGGAGCAAGCACGACAGGAGCAAGCACGACAGGAGCAAGCACGACAGGAGCAAGCACGACAGGAGCAAGACCAAGAGCGAGAGAAAAAAGAAGATCAAGACCTCCGAGAGCAACAGCAAATTGTACTTAAAGAAGCCCCGGAACAGGTATGTATCCATTTCAAGATCAGAGAGAACAATATTTGGCGAAATGTGCAATCTATATGGGTAGATCCTTCTGATCCATCAGAAGTGATGCGGGTGGCGAAGAAGAATATACGAAAAGGACTGCGGATTTTCGACACCAACATGCATCTTTTGACGTCGGACAATTGTTTCGAGGCAGTGACTACGGATGGAACAAACATAATTGTCTTAGTGCCTCAGAGAGAGCTAGATATCGATGAACAAGTACTAGATTCCGCTAGCGTGCTTGCCATGGTGGACGAGGAAAGTTCCAAGAGGCAAGCCAGATAAAAGCAATCTTTTTGACCTAGGCCAGACTTACGTCAAGGAGAGCATCACGAGGAGAACTGGATGGCAGGGACACGATTGGTCCTGTAGCAATCGTCCTTGGACGTAATCTCTCCTCAAGATATCGTCTCGGTATCAGGCGTTCTTAAGGAGTGGAGCGGGCCGAGGAGAGTATTCCTATTCTTAATTGGCGACAAGGAGAGGATCTATCCAGAGCCCAGATATGTACGAGGAGCAAACTCCTGGGCTCGGAGCGAGCAGAGGCCGGTGTCGCTACCAATACCAAATCTCCAGGAGTCAATCCTGCCAAGTAGTAGCCTTTGAGGATAAATTTGCTCCTTACATGCTCAAGGTCCTAATCAAACTTTACCAGGTATTGTAGAGTCACGTGATCAGGTCTTTCACTCAGTTGGCGCCTTCAGGCGACCTTCCCAAAAAGGATCACAGCCAGACCATCAAGGGAGCTAACTTTTATCTCAAGTCTGATTTTGTTGCTTTTGCTGCTGTAAGATCACTATAAAACCGGTCCGATTATTGTCTAGACCATGGCATCCTGTCGCCGTACTCTCGTGCTTATTGCAGTCTCCTCTTTCCTACCCAACAACGTCAAGGCACAATTGGGCCGTTACTGGAACAAAGTCGACTGAGGTACCTAAAATGAAAATCCATCTCGAATATCGCTACGCGGTTAAGGGCAACAGAGGTCCAGGACGTCGATTCAATGGCGATAATCGTCAAGAAATCGCCGAAATCCGGCAGAAGAAACAGGAATACGAATCCAGGAGGCAGGAGAGAGCAGACAACCGGCAAGAAGGTCACATAGACGAATATCAAATGCAACTCTACGAAGCCGAAGCCCTCCTCGATTTACAGAGCAAACAGTTGTCCAAACTGGCTGTTGTTCAAAACAAAGAAATTGATTTAGATCCGGAAGAGAAAGCTTCCCAACGGAAAGAATGGGACGAGCTCATACAACCGTCAGAAGCTATACTGGAGGATGTACGTCAAGAAATCTTCCCAAATGCTGGTCCAAGATAATGTCGCTTCCTGCTGTACAGGCATAGACCGAGGAGAGACACGGTTCCAGTATTCCACCAAGTCGCTCTCAAAATTGGTGACTCCCTAAGAACTCCGCTTCATGGAGGTCTTCCTCCTTGCGGAAGTTTTCTTCAATTTGTTTGTGAGCTTGTCGGAATTCGAGGACGGCGTCTTTGAGTCGTTTTGTCGAAGCTCGTACCTCTTCAAGCAGCTTGTGCGATATGCTTTGTAGTTTATAATATTTTCTCATTTCTGATTTCAATTGCCGATTGTACTCCTCCAGAGCTCGAATCTCCATGCTGGCGGCGTCGTCGTTTCGACATGATTGTATCTCCGGAAGATGGTGTCGATTCACTTGTAATTCAGGAAAGCGATAGCACTGACCGTGACGCTTGGCTTCACTGGAGGTATTCTGTGGCGTCGGCAGGTCATATTCGGTCGAAGAAGGAGGCTTTCTCTCTTCCATTCGGACAGTATGCTCGCCAGATGCCGCAGATTGTTGTCGGAGTTTAGGAATCACTTTAGAAAATACTTTCATCCTTCATAGGCGGTGGGTTGGCTGTAGTGCGGTCTCCTCAGGTAACGCAGAAGACATTCTATTATCATGGTGCGGAGGGGTCACTGTGGAAAGCTCCACTCTCACCATAATGTAATTTATATGATGACATATTCATCCTCTAGAGACAGCCGCATGCAGAAGAAGATCACAAGAAGGTCACTGGAATTGGCCCGAACAGGTTGGACCGAAATATGAATTAGATCCTTGCTACTCCATTGCGGGCACTTGCCTCATTTTGTCTCATGATGTTGTATATATGATACGAGAGAATTCAGACCCCAACCTGCTTCGCTTTCTTTGTGCAATTTCTAATTTCCAATCTCTAGATTGCAGTCATCTAGTACAATGTCGGGATCGGAGTCTCGCTTACACATTGATCGTCAAAATGCCAAACGTGAACGAACACGATTCTATCGACGCAAGAAAAGCCTCTTCAAGAGTGGGTACAACCTGCACAAGCAATGTCGTGCTGAAGTCCACATTCTGATCCGGAAGAACGGACGGTCGTATATTTTGAGCTGTGCGGAAGACGGTAAACCACCATTTTCAGACCAAGCCCTAGTACTTGACAATCACCTCATATTCATGATCCTGGAAAGGTATTGACATTGATGCAGAATCAATGTTATCCGGTACCTCAGTGGTCCTTGCCAGAAGACTTTCGAACGCCAGCAACGAAGCCACCTCAAGAATATCCAAATTGTAACAAGGAGGAGTGATGGCTATGGAGGTAGTGTGCCTAGGTCATGACAGCTTAGGTGACCAGTAGAGGACTTGAGCATGCTCCAGGGTGTTTCAGATACAGTCTATGATGAGGCAGCATAAAGAGACAGACCTAGACGGCTAACATACACATGGACGCCGAGAGGCTAGGAATAAAGATAGCACACCCTATTGACTAAAAATAGCGACATGACCCACGAACACAAAAATATCTCTGAAGCGCCTCTATATGGAACCAGTTCTATGTCCCGGACCTGAATACACCATCTCGTCATACGGTCAGTTTCTCATCGCTCAACACGCCCGTAAATATTCTTCCTTTGCACAGGATCAAGCCGCCACCGACACATTGGAACCACGTCCTTCAACTTGGCTCTGCACTCATCGCCTGACCTTTCGATTGTATCAGCCGAAGCACACACTATTTAAATCCCTACGAAGTCAGCCACTAGCTTTCAACATGACATCTGATGGAGGAAGAAATGATAACATTCGCCAATTGCGACCTAGGTGTTATCGTTGCCAAAGGTGTTGTCTTTCGGAGCATTGTCCGTTGTCGGAATCTGACAGAGTTGCCTCGCCTGGTGTGTCGAGATATACCCTCCGAAAGAAGCCTGTTGTACGTCTTTACTTTCATAGCAAGGCTGATACGTGTGCGAATGCTGCGGTTCCTGCCAGAGACGACGGCCGTCGCGAACCGAGATCCACCACGCACGTGGATTTGAGGGGGAAAAAAGAGCGACGAGTTACACGCGCCCAGAAGAGGGAGCTTGGAGTAATCCAAGAGTGAGAAATATGCTCAGAATCGGGGAATTACAGTATGCGGTTCACAAATAGGACATGGAGGTAGTATTGCATGGTTGGAAATACATGGCGAGTGGCTTTTATAGTGTTCAATTCTTGTTCTTGTACTGTACAACACTGAAAAACTCCGTGACAGCTCATCGGCGTCGCAAATTCCATCGAGAAGAGCTACCCAGATGCGATTGATCTATCACATGGAGCTGATACTTGTAAATTAGCAAAGATCCCAGCATTCCCACGAGAAATATGGTGTTGATGGTCATGGCAACGACCGCCGTTGGTGACCAAAACCCATTTTGTGCGGAGTAGACATTGATGAGCGTGTTTAATGAGCCAAGGAATGAGCTGGCTGTCTCTGGCCTAGAGTGCTCATGATTAGCCGTCTCAGGAGTATACTGCAGTGTACTGCATTCGGGCCTGCCACTCACAAGAACACATTTCGAATGAGCCAAACCGGATTAGAACTCCATGTCCACCATAGATAGCCCAGCCCGGCAGTCCCAACAATGCAGCATATTGCGGCCAGCCAGAGTAGTGGAACATTTTTCACCACCTCAATCGCTCTTCGGCCGCTCCCGTCCTCGAGGTGCTTCTCAAGAGAGGTGAACGTGCCTGGGAGAAACAGGTAACTGGTGTGAATCAGCCAAGATGATAGGAAAGCAAGGGCATTATAGCGCTGTGGAATGGCGTCCGCCTCAATGACCATTGCATCGCGGGCGGACATGTTCTGATGTTGGCCCTAATCAAGTCCGTCAAACACATACCTTCTATGCCGGGGTTAAGTACTACGGTAAATACAGCTGTGGGGCGACTTCTTGAGCGCTCGTTGTCTGGGAGCAGTCCCATGATCTGTACGATTGTCTTGGCTCACTTCGGCGGAAACAGTGTGGTGCCAAGTGTGGTCTATATAATCCGGTGTTGGTTGGCTTCTCGCACCGTCAGGCTGTGAAGGACACGAGAGCATTGCCGACCTTTGACGACCCTTTTTGTCATCAACCTTAGGATCAGAAAACTACTGTGCAGGAGTCCTTCTATTGTATACAAAGATGAGTTCTACAACAGGAACTGTCACGGAACTTTACAGTCCGAGTCCATTGAAAGTCGCACCCAACGTGGACGCATTACTTCATCAAGTGGACCAGCTTCAGAACTCGGTGGACTCAGACGTTGTCGAGAGCTTGTTGGAGGAAAATGCCTGGTTGGAACACAGCATCAACCGCGGGAAAGAAAAGTGGCAGTCGATCACTAAATTACTGCGAGAAGCATTCGAAGCATATGTCGTTTTGAATGCTTGTATTGAACAGCTGGAGGATGAAACTACAGAACTGGACAAAAAGTGGGCTCACGACCTTCAAAATCGACTCTCAGGGACATCTGCGCCTGAATTCCCTCGTGTGCATCAGAGGGCATCTATGTATAGTCCCATCGCCAAGGATTTTCTCGACGATTGATCTTCGCCGGCGGATGTGTAAAGCGACCGGTCTGGAAAATTTCCGCCGGACTAAGAATAGCCCTCTTGTATCTATTGATATCTCGCAAATTCTATTCTTGGATTGCGGAGTATAATATATCGCTATAAAGTCAGAACCTATTTCCAGATGTTATTCCTTTCAACTATTTCTCTTCATCAGCGACCTTCGCACATTACAGTACATAATAAACATGAAGCTTTGCAACCATCATCCGTGGCTCGGGATATGCGAGCAGGGCTATGAGACGTCTCTGATCGAAACAGGTAGATTGGAGATGTTGAGTTCTCGATTTGAACAACCTGATGATGCCTCTCCCAGCCTCATCGTATTTGTAGGTCAACATTCAAAATCTGTCGCACTCGAGAAGCTCTTCGACATTCATCGAAC